ACATTTAGCATATAAATTGTTACCATATTTTAGAACGGAACAAATTTGTGATTGGCATTAAATATTGGTATATTGCCAAATATATTATATGCAAAACATTCCAGTAACACTTCAAAATAAGATCCCATTAAGTTATGGTTAATTAATGCAAAAAGTAAATAATTTGTTACATGATTTATTCATCTTTTGACAACTATTTACTGTTAGTTCATATCAGCTCAGGTCCATTAGATATTAACTGACACAACTTTTGATTTCAATAATATATTAGTAAATTTCACACTTAAGTTTGGGACCAATTCTTACTATTAACTAACTATTGGCTATTACATTTTCCTCGATAAACTCCTAATTTGTTGCTTATTAATAGTTAGTAAGGTAGTTGTTAAGTTTAGGTACGGGGTGAATTAAAGCTATGTAACTTTTTCTGTGTTCAAAATTTGCAAAGTCTATATAATGAGCGAGTACATCATGAATTCATCTTCCAAACCGCGTTTTTGTCTTATTCCGAATCACTACGGTACACTTATAATAGGTACTTATATTTGGACTATTTTAGCCTGGTCGGGTCGTCGCCGCTGCGGAATAACACATACCTGCGTGAATCGCCATAGACGTAAACTTGGAGAAGTAGCTCCGGTTGGAATGTTCTTCCGCGGGATGTGTGCAGTTCTGTTTATTTACCGCTAGAGCGTCAAAAGTTACATAGTGCTGCTTTAAGGGATCTAAAATATGGTCATGCAGAATAAGGCATGCTTTATTAAAACTAATAAATATGCTAGTAATATGCATGCTAATAAGCAACTATTTAATAGTGAGAATTGGTCCCTAAACTAAAGTGTTACCATTAAACTAAATTAAAGACTAATAAATGCTTTAGGAGTCTATTTTTGTCACCAATATTCCTGTATTTAATATTGTCTTGAGCACTCTGTTACAATTAGTTTGTAAAACAGATAAAATCAAAAACCGCTTGAAGTTAATTCCATTTTTTAAATTAATAATAACAGAAATCGCTTCAAATTTAGATATTTTACCAACAGGCAATGCCCTCACTAACCCCTGGAAATGCCACTGTAGGGCCAACAGTTTGGGGTCCTATTTAACTTTTTTTAAATGTAGTGGCAAAAGCAAACTGTCATACTTTACCTTTAATCATGTCAGAAGGAATGCTGTCAGGAAAAAAAAAGAAGAAAAAAGAAACAATGAAAAGAAAAGATGGATTGTAGAGAGGAAGAGAGTAGAGATGAGTTATGCAAGTTTCCAGAGTGATGGTGATCCTGGTCAGACTGAAGAAAGCAAGACTGTCAGGGTGTAACGGGTCAACAGGATGAGTGCTGTCGCAATCCCAGACCGCAGACCCTGATGTGTTTTTCCACCAGAGGCAAAAAGGCTTCTTGAGTTGCCCTGTCTATTTTAAGAGGTCTGTACTCGAGAGAGAGAGAGAGAGAGAGAGAGAGAGAGAGAATGCCTGTCCTCTCCTATTGATAGTAAAAGTAGCTCAGTAAAACCCTGTTGAACTAAAGCTTGTCTTTGTTATCCGATCTGTTCCAGCTCTGGCTCTAGAATTCAGGCTGTGATATAAACGAACGCTATTGGCTATTTTAAAAAGGGGCGGGGCTGCTTGATATGTCCCGCCCTGTCTTCCTGTTTCAGTTAAAATGACGTCAACACATAGAGTAATGCTGCGTGTTTCTAAGCATTTCAGGGGAACTTTAAGGACAGGCTGCTTCCCCATTATTAGAGGTGTTTCCTAAGGCAAGCAGCACTGTTAACTATGAACCCTCTAACCTTAAGTATTAAACTTGCGCAACTCGTTCTGCACAGTTTGTGCAACACACGTAAATGACACCTCAACTTGTACAGCGTATTGAGGAGATATTCAATGATCAAACTCCACAAGGGCATTTTTGCCTGGCAGATGATAAAATCGGCGAGAGTCCCATAGCGTTACAATACAGAAGACATATTTAGCAACAAGGGCCGTATTCACAAACACTTCGATGTCATCAATAGGAGTTTTTAAAAGAGATTTGCTTTAAACCGGTTCACAAAACTGCTAAGAAATATTTTACTAAGGCCTGGGACATCCGGTAGGTGATGCTTGCTCACTCTCGTTGGCAATCGCGGGTATCACTTCAGAGGCAGCCTAATCAAGAGTTGTAAATATCAAACATGTTTGATATTTACGATTTGAGTTCGGGGAAATAATCCTAATGACACCACACAATAGAGGATTTTTTGAACAAAGAATAGTTTGCGACAAGCCTCGAATCGGGCCACATCCTCCTGATTGTTCGGGGGTGCAAATCGGGCTTAAAGGGGTCATATGATGCTTTTTTAAAGATCATTATTTTGTGTATTTGGTGTAACAGAATATGTTGACATGCTTTAATGTTAAAAAAAC